AAAAAAATGGCTTTATTGTTATTCGAAATTTAGTTAAACCTGAAGACCTTGAACGTTTTCGGTAAATATTTAATATAAAATAAAGTAATAATATACATTTTTTTCTTCTATTACAGAAAACGTTTTCAAGATGTTTGTACAGGTAAAGTTGAAACATTTGGTATGACAATAATGAAAGATATCGCTATTTCAAAATCGGAATTTGCTGATGGTGAAAAAGCTATAACAAAAATTCAAGATTTTACATTAGATGATGAATTATTTAAATATTGTTGTTTACCTGAAATTGTTAAACATGTTCAAAGTTTTACTGGTCCAAATGTAATGGCTATGCATACAATGGTAAGAAAGTATGGATTGCATTTTTGTTTTATTCATTATGTTTTTACTTAGTTAATTAATAAACCACCAGATCCGGGTACTCAAACATCACGACATCCACTTCATCAAGATTTGTATTATTTTCCATTTCGACCAGCTGAACGAATCGTTTGTGCATGGACAGCAATGGAACATATACATCGTGGAAATGGTTGTCTAGTTGTTCTACCTGGTACACATAAAGGTGAACTACTGGAACATGGATATCCAAAATGGGAGGTTAGTCGATAGAAAAATTTCTTTTTTTTTATTTGTATTTTTTTATTTATTAAGGGTGGTGTTAATAAAATGTATCATGGTATCCAACAGTTTGATCCAAATGCAGAACGTATACATTTGGAAATGTGGGAAGGTGATACTGTATTCTTTCATCCATTACTTATTCATGGTAGTGGAATGAATAGAACAGATGGATTTCGAAAAGTAATATATTTTTCTTTCTTGATTTATATTGTATTAGAAAATGTTTAATTTTTATAGGCTATTTCTTGTCATTATGCCGATTCTGCATGCGATTATATTGAATGTGAAGGTGTACAAGAATATATTTCAAAAGAAGTAACGGCAGTCTTTAAAAAACGTACCGGTATTGAAGATGCACGTTTTCAAGTAAGATAATCGATTAAAATTATGATAATTTTTTTTTTATTGGATTTTTTTTTAAATAATATTTAGGATGTTTGGAGAGTTAAAAGTCGACTTGTGGCAGGTGAACGAATAAATTTATAAACTGTAATTTGTTTTTTTTTCTTATACGATGATTTATTTTTTAAAATAACAATAAAAGAATCAAGAAGAAGAA